AATATAAAATAACAACCAGGATAGTGTTAAAATATATAAAACTATGTACTAAGAGTGCTAAAGTTTATAAATTGGCAAGGACAGTAGTATGTCTATGGAAGAAAGTAAAACAACAATGTATTAGATCTAAACAATAGGATTTCTAATAAAGTTTCCGTCGCCTAATGGGTCTAAGAACAAACAGATAAATAGAAATAAGTAGAAGTGTTCAATAGGTTGAGTATTTGACAATTTATAAGTATTTGGAAAAAAAAAATGCTTTAACTTTTAAATCAAATGAACTTCATTTCAAATATTTAATAAAATAAAATGAAAAGTTGTCTATTTTAATCACAATTACTTTTATGTTAGTATAGTCCAATCAGCACACTTATATAATACAACTCACAATGGTGTAATGACGTAAGTTCTGGTTATAATAAAACAAAATTACAATTAAGATAAATATGTTCATTGTAGCATATCGTCCAGAACAATTTGACTAGATTTTCCGTGATAAGTCTAGCTTGTTAGGCGATGTGATCAAATAATTCTGTGTAACTAATGTCCTAACTAGTATGCATGAAACGTATTAAATTAAATGCTTAGTTTAAGTCCGTGCAAATTGTAAAAGGGAATAATTAAACTAATAGTACTTCACAGTTTTTACTAAGTCTAATTAATTAGTAAAAGAATAGTAAACGTTTAATTAAACAGTGTTTATATTTAATTTACTTAAGTTCTGAGCGAGAGTAAAGTATTTTTCGAGAATTCTTTTATAAAATCATAAATATATTGAGTTTTATAAACGCGATGGTTACTAGGATAATTGCATTTAATGATATAATTCTTAAAAACTTGAGTTTGTCAAAAGACAGGTTGATTGGAGCGGAAAGTTAGTCTGGTGGAATTATAACGGTTTCATGCACTTCTAAATAGTTCCAGATGGTTGAACTATGTAGGAAGCAGATGATGAGAATGGATAAAGTTTTATGACAGAAATATCCGGGTTAAGTTGGTCAAAACGGATTCCTTTACAACAAGCCCATGCTGAACCACATACCGCGACAGTAACTTGGAATACTATGAAAGAACTTCGTGGTATTTAACTCTTTTCACGCCCAGTTTTAAAGCGAACCGTGCCTCATCAGATAAATAAAATTGAGATCTATGGCGAAATTCTTTCTTGGAAAAATCCATAAAGAATGTTTGAAAATATAACGCGTGAATTTGTTCTTTCTAAAACTAAAGAATGCTTTTACAGAAGACAAAGAATTCGATGAACATTGGCTTAAAAACACAGGTAGATTAGGATGAAATGTACTTCCAATATTATGGCTTTTTTATCGTACGATTGCGTAATAAACAAATTGAAAAAAATATATATTTCTGAGAGACGCTCTGTAATGAAAACATACCTAAAAGTAATATTAAATTTACAGCAAGGAATATTACTACCTAAAAATAATTTTATTGTATTTTATAAGTGCATGAATATTATGTAATATAATGTTTCATAATATAATAAAAACTCCAATTCCTTATTGCAAGTGATTTTTTCTTCGTATAAAAAACCTTTTTTATGTATCCTCAAAATTATTTAACATTTCATAAATCAAATCATTTGTAATTCACATTCCGCTACACTACATTTATGAAGCTACAGAACAATTCAAAACCTATATTGAATTTGAAACTATGATACGAACAAACTAATCACATTCAGCTCAGTGTGGCATTGAGTCTTTGTTGGAAATACAAGCGTAAACTGAATATGTAGTTTAATGTTACTGAAAAGTTACTGGCTAAGTGTAGATAAAAAAAAAAACATTAGAATGGACATGAAATTAAAAGTTTTTACGGTAAACGAAACTTGTTAATTGCATTTTATCTTCAAAAACGTTTTTACAAATTTTATATACATCAAAGCTGCATGAACTAGAAATATTAAAATATATTTATTTCAAAAATAATTCTTTTAGTGACTTTTATAATCATATTAATCAGGATAACCATTTTTCAGGCTGATATTCTTGTACAAATACTGTTCATACTCCTTTTAATGAAACATTTTTTGATATTAATTACCAACTTAAAGCAAAGAGAAAGCAAACTACTATTCTTCCTTATAGAATCAGTATCATAAATTTCAGTTCAATATCCACTATCTTGAACCTTCCTTACTAGATCGTCTTCCTCTTTAATGCACTGATAAGTTGGTTGTTTAAAAATATCTGTCGTGGTACATTATAAGTAACAAAAGAGACACTAGTCCAGGAGTCAAGCATATACCTTCATCTACAATAAGTAGATTTAAACTGTAACTTTTTAGGGCTTGCAGAACTGCTATAAAAAATGTTGATGATAAAATAAAATATTTAATGTATTTATCTAACACGAACCACTACCACTATGAATTTATATTTAAAAAATAACTAAAATATCATCATTACAAAAGTATTGTAAACTAATATTAATGCAGAAGAATAAAATATTAAACATTTATTGTCAGGAAAATAGGGTATCAGTGTCCAACGTCCAGCGGGGATTTAAAACGACTGTCAAGCCTATGTCGCATTAAGCCATTAGATTACTGTTTCATTTCAAACAACCGTGTGGGTTTAACACAAAATTAAAATACACCTCAACTACTTATACAAATTTTTACGTCATTTTAATACTAAAAGTTGTCATAAATGGTCGATTATGTAAATTTACATAGCAAACCTCATATGAATAAAAAAAAACTTTGAGAATGTAAATGTTACCAATACTAAAGGTATAGCTAACAAACTACACAACGGAAGATAAATAATCTATATGCATGACGATTTATGTTCCTTATGCATGTCTGACCTTTGTGTTATCTTTCAAAATCTAGCGGAAATCGTTTTCTACCGGATCGTTTCGCCCTTGGAATGGCTTGATGGCAATCTCTAAAGTAGCTCGTTAAAAACTACACTAATTTAAGTGAATATAAATAGAAACATTTTATAAATATTTTCAAAGATGTTTCTTATATAGTTATAATGACTAAAGATATCGATAACCAATTATTTGAAACAAAGTAAATGATTATAATTTGTTACATTGTTAAAAGATTCCAGGTCATCTAAGCAATTAATCGTGGTATAAGACATTGAAAACCATGGACATTCTCAAATTAACGCCATCCATCAGAAACTGCTTGAATCTATGTAAAGATGACATGAGCAAGAAGATGTTGGCTCAGCATTCAATATGAATGAATTTCAATAGATGGCGCTAAATTATCATTTAAGTTTATTCAACCACCACCTCTCTGTTTAAGCTTAAAGGACTATTCGTAAGATGTCTCTTACTACTTACAGACCCATTAAATATAACTATCAGAGGTTTTGTAAGTATTATAGGTATGTAGTAAACGAGTATAATTTACCGGAAATTATGTTACCTTTTATTGTAAAAAAAAATTTTAGATTGTATTTATTTTTGTAAGGAATAACTTCAATTAGAATTATAGTTGTAAAGATATATTTGTCTTAATAATATTAAGAATATGCAACAAAGCTTTGTTTTATATCTTTATTTTTATACAACATGACAGCAAAAAATAATTATTATCAATGCAAAATATAATTTAGTTGGTTTAATTAACTTTAATATTTCTTTTATTATATTTCCTACAATTATAAAAAAAACTCCAATTGAGTCCTTAATAAATAAAATTTCTTTGTCAAATATAAAAAGTTATTGAATTAATGAAACAAAGTTGAAATTCCTTTAATTTTGGTGCCACGTAGTGCTATTTCTATATAATTAGATTAGCTACAAGCCAAGTAAATAGTAAAATTTCCTCTGCGAGACATAAAAAAATGTTAAAATAAAGTTGACTGATCCTTTGACTGCCGTATGGTTAGTTAGTTAGTTTTATAGTTAGTTTTATCGATAAAATAAATTCGCTTTAATATTTTAATACACATTCTACATACATACCGGATATATACAATTAGTTATCTACAATTGTAACTGTAGGAAACAACGGTAAAAAATAAATTGTATAAACGTTATGTATTCAGTATAATAAATAGAAACCATTGAAACCAACAAAATACTTAAATTTTTAATCTTACTACAAAGTTGTTTCTAAATCATAAATTAAATTTATCTTGTATATCATTATTTACTTTTTAAATTTTTATTTTATTTGATTATGTAAATAGTTAATGTTTTGTAACTTTCCTTTACACGTATTAACATCTACAACACAACGTTGAACAAATAATTAAATTACTGTTTATTCTCATTCTAAAATTGTTTTCATTTATTTGTAACTATTTTTACTATCTGGCAATGCATTTGTATTTCATAATATTAATAAGTTTATCAGATTTATACAAAAACAAATCAATTTTGAAAAGAAATGGTTTGGACAAGGTTTATAATTTTGTTTTATAAATGATAGCATGTGATGCCTTTTAAATTTACATAAATTTGTTGATATTCATTCTGTAAGAGACACTCGCAATATAAGAATATATGTAATTTGAACTGAGTCTAGTTCTGCTCAAATAATAAATAATATTATTTTTCAATTACTGCGTTTGGTCTGAACAAACACTTTCTACAAAGAGAACTTTCTTTAATCTAAATTGTTTTATTAAGATTTGATACCTTAATATTATTAAAACAGAACCAAGATATTATGACCGTTTCGAACTAAACAAGTTGTTTTGTCGGTGTGAAATTAACAAACTTTTATTATATTTTTATCTTAATGAATTCTTTCATGATGTCTGTTCTGACTTGAATTATCATTAAGATGTATTTTTATTGTCTGTAGTTGTAAATGATACTCATAGGCCCCAGTTTAAAATTTTCCTGTTTAAAATGTTTTTGATACATACATACATTCAAAATATGGAAATTCAAAATATGATTATTAGTACCATATTTTTTCGAATGCTTTAAATTAATAATATATTACCGCTGAGATTCGAACGTACTCCCATCGTTGTATGAACTGTGCAGTAAATTGATAGTTATTGTTGACTGGGAGCGTGGCGCCTCTTGTAATCCGTGCTACTCGGAGGTCGGGGTCGAGGGATGGTTTGAGGTTTGAGGTCCTGGGACTGAGATGGCCACAACAACCGGATGGCCACATTCAAGCCTAGTATGACTTTGATCTTCTGGAAGAGTCTAGACTCTAGAAGGTGCATTCTACGGAGGGAGAGCAGGTCGGGCCCTGAGAGAAAACTCAGGGACCGAGATATCCCTTCGTACCGGGCTGGAGTGGAATATAGCCGGGAGTGTACTAACTCAGTAACATCCTAACCGATATATCCAGACCCTTCCCTATTTTGGCGTCATATTTTTTATATTTTATTTAAACAGTTAAAAATCAATTAATACTTTAGTAACATAATATTATATCAAATGACACAAGTCGTAATTACTATTTGCAATTTTAATACAATATTCATTATTTTTTTACTTAGCAATTTATACCAATTTGACATTAAATTTTACTATATTGTGTAATAACATTGTTAAATAATAATAATAATAAATATACTTATACTGGAAGGCCCTATAATTAAGAAATATCTGTTACGTTATTTTATTTATATTTTTGGAGTTTACCTATTAAAGCCATAAATCTCCGTGTTTTGAAGTGCGAGAGAATGATTGACATATTAGTTAGTTGTCAAATGTAATGAAAAAAAAAGGTTTGTATCAACAGCTACTAATAAATTAAAAATTAATTAAAAAAACATTGTCCAGCGCACAAAATTGTGAATCTAAACAATTCCCAGATCCCCTTGAACACACACAAAAAATTTCATCAAAATCGGTCCAGTCGTTTGAGAGAAGTTTAGTGACATACACACTCACAGCAGAATTATATATATAAAGATGACTTTAAGAAATCGACTGTAGTAAAACTCATACTCGTATGAAACGAGTATATGAGATTTTTTTCCTATATCATATTGTATTACATATCTGACAGTTTAATGTATGAAGTGAAATTATCACACTATATATTTATAATATGAATCGTTGATGAAGTTTGATGGCCACATATTTGTTTTCAACAATACTCATATAAAGTTAGTAAGATGTAGTCGCTGGATCATTACGCAAGACAACTTCAATAATTGGCAGTGTTTCGGATGTTTAGAACTTTTTAATTGGGAAAAACATATTTTCATCGCAGTTTTTTTCGTTTCCTTGTTATTTATTGGATACTATAATAGTATAGAAAATTAAAACTTATGTTAGTATTATCTTCAGATGTTAATAAAGATATGGTTAAAAAGGAAACTGATAGTGTTATCAATAAATATGTTAAAAAACAGGTCTTAATAAAATACTTGTCTTCGTTAGTTAGTGTTTCCATTACTCTAACATTGCTGAAAAACTGCTTCAGTCCCTCAGATATAGAAAGAATTTAAACTCAATATGAAAAATATATATTTAGTTAATTTTATGTACCTATCTGAAAAACAGAAAAACTAATATTAATGAAAATGTTGAAATGTCTAAAACCGCACCAATTATTTTATTTATGTTAATACTTAATAAGTGGACCCTAGAAATGACCACTACGACGAACCAAACACTATATAGTCATATAAAATTAACTATTTCTTCTCTTTGACCCAATTTGAAAACTACGCATGTATGTATATGTATATATATGAAATGCATATTAGAGAGGAGTTTCACAAATTGCTTGGACGAGACACAAAGAAACATTCTGAGTGACAATTTGAAAGAAGAATTGTAGCGAATAATAAAATGGGTATGAGATGTGATAGCGACAAAGTATCTTGCTATTCACTTAAGGGTACACAAGAACGAACATCAAACCTACTTTCATGTATAATTTCATTGACTGTATGAATTCAATGAAATTATAAAACTTTGTAGTCTAAGAAAAACGTGTACAAGAATATAAGGAAAATAATTTAAATGGAAAGAACACAATTTCTATAACGTTGATAAAAAAGCTTCTTATACAGGGTGATTGGTGAATTACTATCAATATTTAAGGAGCATACTCGGTACATGATTCTCATTCGAATTATGTAAAAAAATAGGTACTTAATTTTTGATCAAATTTCCGTATAAATAAATAAAGTGTTGACACGTTCCAAATGTTCCAAGTGTGGAAGCGTGCGGTGGCGTGCTGATAAAACACTACGCCGCCGCCGCGTCTGTGTGAGTGTGTGTGTATACCTAATCTGTAGGGTGTTCATACGATGCGTAATTAATTACACAACTTTTGGTTAACTTTACTTAGAAGTTTATTAATATTTATGTTATATTAATTTTTATTTTGTCATATATGATCGTCAAATATCACGTCCTCAAATATCGATAGTAATTCACCAGTCACCCTGTATAGAGTTTCATTCACCCACTTATAAGTTTAGAAATTCTATGAGTCCGTCGAAAATACAGAGCAAAAACAATGGGGCTCGTCCGGGATTTGAACCCGGGACCTCTCGCACCCTAAGCGAAAATCATACCCCTAGACCAACGAGCCGATGAGTATCCAGTTCCAAAAAATTCTGAAACTACTAAAACATTATAATTCCAGTATTTCTTTGGGAATATACATAAAATTGTAACTATTTTTACTTACGCACTTAAAATTCCTTATAAATATTAAAAATCCATACTTACACATATTACCCTCAAATAAAAGAGATTTGTTGTGAATGCAACAGTGTTAAAATGTGTACATATGTGTAAATGAAATATAAATAAAAATATGTATATTAAATAAATCCTTTTAAAACTTGTAGAGAGTTGAAATACTTCTAGTTTTGAATTTGTTAATAACGTGTTGGTGAATTTTAATCTCATGTACGAACTAAAATTATTTAAAATCTGTTAAGCAGTTTGTATCAGATGCTACAGTTTATAAAACCTCCGGGAGGATGTCTGTCATATTAAAGGAACGTGTTTCACTATCAAAACTTGTTAAGTTGAAGAGAAAAATGTACTCCTGCTTTAACCGGCAACGTAAATTATTAATACATCCATAAAAAATTACATTCATTTAATATTCTCAGTTTCCGAGTAGTTACTGTAACAAAATACATTTTTATAACGTATTTACCGACGATCACAAAGATGAAATAATAATTGCTATTTCTCTCCCTTCAGATATTTTCATTTGCATATTGTATTTTTGTTGAATTCCGAGTAGACGTGAAAGGTGTAAAGAATAAACTCTGGGATTTAAATGCATCTTTTATTATACCTAAAAGAATATTTTTGACGTGATAACGTCTTTAAAATCGTTTTAGTCGGGTGACATGTTCAGAAACTTGTGTCACACCAAAACCTCACGAGCGCGATCGCAGGTATAACGAGAGAGAGACGGACCGATCTCCCGTCTCATCTCGAGCGCTGCCAGTCATTCCGTGAAACTTGTCACGCGGAATCCTCACGAGCGGAGGCAGGACTAGCGTTCGAGTGAGTGGACCGATCTTCATAATGTATATCATAGTCGAATAAGTAAACTTGTCATTTTACACCCGAAATTTATCATCAAAAGTGTGAATAAAACTATAGATGTAATTTAAAATTTGAAAAAATTGTTATCTTCGTATACATAATATAAATAAACATAAATAAACATCTCGATCGTACTTACTTAAACCTACTTTACAAACAACAAATTTTTTTTAAAAAGGTATTGTATTCGAAGGTTGATTCTCGTGTTAAAATTTTGCTGATTTAGTAAAGTTGGTAGTATAAAGAATTTTATCATATTTTAACGCATTAGTAAGTAAAAACAAAATGTACACATTATATCCTTGTGAATACATACTTAGTTTATATGATTCTTAGGTTCAACTTTACATCACCTTCAATCTTAATATTAAAGATACTCATGAAAAGTTTATAAAAAGTTTTCTTCAAATTAGGATTTTAAAAAAATTAATCCTACTTATAGTCCTTCAGCAACAAATATGAAAAGGAAAGTAATTGTTTTAGCCAACTTTAGAGATTCATTGATTTTTTTAGAAAACAATGTACATCTAGAAATCTTGTAACAATGTACATCTATTAATAATATTAAATAAATTAAAAGTAAAAAAACCGTTATAACCGACTTCAAAAACAGTTTTCAACTCGTAAAATTCCGTACGTAAAATTCCAGTACTGAACAGTGCTTGTCCATACCAGGGTCCAATGTACCAAATTTCAAAACTATATATATATCTATGTATGTTTTTATGTATGTTTTTATGTTTGTGTTAGCATATCTCCAGAACTACTTTTTTCATCTAAGGGAGTTACAAAAGTTTCATCTATAACGGTTAGTAATTTTTGAGCTAGGGAATTTTCCGGAAGGTTTATTTAATTCCATTATAAATTATCTATTATCAATTACTGTTGTATTATTACGTAATCGCAACATTTCTTGCTATGTATGAGGACCGTGCGTTGGTTTTAATAGTCTATTGATATCTAATTCTTGTGTGTGGCAACATCAGTAACCTTAATGGAATTACCTAGTTTTCCCTACGACTTAAATTGAAAAAGAAATAAAAACATGTAAAGTACTTCAAATTGTACCTCACTAAATTACCTGTGTAGCCACGATTAGAAAGAATAGAAACGAAATAAAAAGTAAAAAAATTAATTATAACCTATGTCTTAAAAAAAGTAACTTTCATATTCCAACTTAGTGTTTTCTGAAGTCGGCACTTGCCCAAAAAAATAAAGAAAAACAGGTAATTAACAGAATAAATGTGAAATACCATTAAAGATATCAATAGCAAAGTAAAATATGTAATTTATAACTCCAGACTAAATGTGATGATTCAAGAAGAACCAAAACAACGTGACGTCAACAAATCGAAAGAAAATTAAATTATTCATGATAATAATCTCATAAATTTAATAAATTAATTTACTAGTTTTTCTATGGCAATTAATCTGGCGACAAACTTAATGATGAAATTTATGCAATGAAGTTATTAGTAGATAGAAGTTTCAAAGTTAACATTTATTTTCTTAATTTGAGCGCACTTCAATAAAATGTTGTTTAATAGGCTTCTTAATTATTGTTTAATTTTGACTTTTCTGTATTCATGTTTTTAACGTTATTCTAAGTAAGCCTTTTCATATCTATTTGGTACCAATACTAATAAAAACTAGTCTTCCATTTTGGATGTACCGCTATGTTGGATTAAAAATGACATCATGACTAATGTTACCATAAACAAAATATTTTGTTTATGAAAATAAATTCCCATTTAATCTGAATATTTATTCATTTTTTAACATAGAAAAACAATTAAATTGTACAAGATTATAAGCATAATTTGTATGGAAATCATCAATAATTAATCGATTCTCTACTTAATATTTCAAATTAATACCGTAATACTAGTTCGTTAGCGTCTGAATAGCGATGTCTCGTCTATTTTAACTATTCAGACACAAAGCGTTGTTCACTTGACACCCACTTTTAATACAAGAAATGACGATATTATTTTTCTCGTATATCTTAGACAGACATAGTATATCTGTGTCGTATTTAAAAAAAATAAATTGTCTCTATTATTATCAAAACACTACCAATATTGACAAATGCTTTATTTTTAGCTAAACACCAAATAACAAATCATGATTTTAAGAAAATTTCTTCATTGCTGATAAATAATTGCGTACAAACGTTTTGTAAGGCTCATTTGTGCAGGGGATAGTAATTGATACTTAAAATAGTCTGTAACATTATTTCCGTTTGTGTAATATTCGCCTGAATGGTGTCGAAGCATTTTATAGTATTCTATGTGCTCCTTAATTTGTTATATGAAAGATTTAAATAGAAATAGAAAAAATATTGTAATACATATAAGTATAAATTCAAATAATAAATACCTTCTACTGGTAGAACTCATCACAAATCAGAATCTTATAAAAACTATAATATATATAAACTTAATTTCGAGAAAATCAAATCGAGTTGTATTTTGACGATAATTAACAAAATATACCCGTATGTTGAAATGCTTCTGATAAGTGATAGATATAATATAATATGAGCTCCGAATATATTAAATATTTGAACACTATCTTTGTAACATCTTCAAGGACAGGTTGGTCCGCCATTAGCTGCGGTCAGTCTGGACCCACACCACACATTAACACTTCAATATCACTTACCTTAACAAACTTTATGGCTATAACCTATTATAATAAAATGTTGTATCATTATGTAGGGCATAGATCAATGGACTCTCAAACAAATGATATTTATAGTTTTATTCAGTTATTAAATAATTTCGAGGAAATAAATAGAATCATACGTTTTAGATTTTAAAGAATCTCCGTCTATGTATTCAATGGCAAGTGTGAGATAAATATACTTTTATTAATTTTTAAAAAATATATCTTATATTATTATTATTATTATTATCTTATCAGTCAGTGGTGGCCTAGTGGTTAAAGGGTCCGCCTCTCGTTGCCGAGGGCGCGGGTTCAAACCTGGCAAGTACCAATGTGATTTTTCGGAGTCATATGTACTTTCTGAGAGTATTTAGACATCACTGACATACGGTGAAGGAAAACATCGTGAGGAAACCTGGACTTATAGTTTCACAATTATAAGTTTGAAATCACCAACCCGTCTTGAGCAAGCGTGGTGATTAATGCTCAAACCTTCTCCATGTGAGAAAGAGGCCTTTGCTCAGCAGTGGGCGTTGATAGACTGATGACGTATATCTTATAATTCGCTAACTTCATTCACTTTAAGCTATATTTAAAACAATTAATTATATTTAACTTTTTTAATAATCGGCTTAAGATCTAGTATTTAGCAATCCATGTCTTGTCAGTAATTAAAATGTTTGATGAAGAAATCCTTGCTATAGTTTATTCCGCTGGGCCTAGAATATTTCTATGCTAATGAGATCTAAGATTTTCGCGAGTACACATTTAAATGAAACTAATATTTTCGGATTTTACTTCGAGTTCTACGAGACATCTCGTCTGCCCGTGATCACGGTTGCTGAAAAGTAGCCGAAACGTCGGGAGTATGTAGTTTCTAAAATAAAACGCGAAGTAAAATCCGAAAATATTAGTTTCATTTATTTCTATGCTATTTTAGTGGCCGAAGTCTATCAGAGGAGGAGTTGGCAAGTGCTGCTTCAAAGCTCAAGTCATGTCAATGAAAATAACTGGTGGTGACAATAGACAGAACAGAACGTTTAGATGAACAGAATCTTAAAAATAAACATTAAAGAAGAAGAAATGAACAAAGATATACTCATGGCTCTACTAAACTTGAATAACTATTAAAATTTATTAATAACAAAACATAAAAGACATTGTTGCAAATTATTATTAGTTGAGATAAAGTTAAAATGGCGGTTTAGTGACGTGTAAATAATATTGTGACAATTTTTATTTTATGTTTTCAATTAAAACTGTTTTATATTTAGAAATTATAGATAACTAAATTATTATACCATAAAAAATTCATCATAAATTCACGGTTTCTTATAGTCTTGAAATTACAGCTGTTTTTATATACACGTTAAATATAATATTCAAGTTGTCAGTCGTAAAAAAAATCCGGGTTCCATATGTACTTTTTTTTACAATTATATTTAATATATGGATATGGATGACTTGTAATTAATTATTATAGATTAACTTTGTTGATATTAATTTTGCATGAGACACTCGTAATATAAGAACATAATTTGAAATGAGTCTAGTTCTGTCTCAAGTAATAAATAATATTATTTTTAAATTACTTCGTTTGGTCTGAACAAACAATTTCTACATAGAGAACTTTCTTTAATTTAAATTGTTTTATTAAGATTTGAAACCTTAATATTATTAAAACAGAACCAAGATATTATCAAGATCGTTTCAAACTAAACAAGTTGTTTTGTCGGCGTGAAATTAACAAAGTTTTATTATATTTTCTTCTTAATGAATTCTTTCATGATGTACATATGTTCTGATTTGAGTTATGATAAGGTTACATTACTATTGTCTACAGTTTTAAATGATACTCATATGCCACAATTTAAAATTTTCCTGTAATAATAATACAATGTAAATTACCAATATTATTCCTAAGATCCTCATTCTCGTACATTTTAAAATAATATATTGCCGCTGAGATTTGAACGTACTTCCATCGTTGTATGAACTGTGCAGTAAATTGATAGTTATTGTTGACTGGGAGCGTGGCGCCTCTTGTAATCCGTGCTACTCGGAGGTCGGGGTCGAGGGATGGTTTGAGGTTTGAGGTCCTGGGACTGAGATGGCCACAACAACCGGATGGCCACAATCAAGCCTAGAATGACTTTGATCTTCTGGAAGAGTCTAGACTCTAGAAGGTGCATTCTACGGAGGGAGAGCAGGTCGGGCCCAGGGAGAAAACTCAGGGACCGAGGAATCCCTTCGGACCGGGCTGGAGTGGAATATAGCCGGGAGTGAACTAACTCAGTAACAGCCTAACTGATATAACCAGACCCTTCCCTATTTTGACATTATATTTTTTAAATTTTATTTAAACAGTTAAAAATCAATTAATACTTTAGCAACAAAATAAAATATCAAATAACACAAGTCGTAATTGATGTATGCAAATAAGATAATTCATTTTCAATTTCAAACTTTATTATGTCACTCCTGTCTAAGTTTAAGTAAAGAAAAGAAATTTTACTATCATTTTTACTTCAAATAACTGATGAATTTTAAGGAAAGTTTTCTTTATAGTCAGAATAAAACCGACATACATGTTAACTTTACTTATTCTTTAAATTTTTAGTTGTTTACATCATATCAACATAAATCTTGCTATGTAATCACATGTTAGGGTACAGTTTAAATAATATATAATACAATTTTGTGACTATAAGAAATTTAATTTAGTTCGTACGAGTATATAATGTTTTATTATGTTTAGTATAGTGTGTTAACTGACAAATTAATGTATGAAGTGCAATGATAGCACTACAAATGAATCGTTGATGAAGTTTGATCGCCACATATTTGTTTTCAACCATACTCATATAAAGTTAGTAAGATGTAGTCGCTGGATCATTACGCAAGACAATTTCACTAATTAGCAGTGTTTCGCATGTTTAGAACTTTTTAATTGGGAAAAACATATTTTCGTCGCTGTTTTTTTCCCTTCAGTTGTTTTGTTATTTTTTGATCTTAGCTTTGGAACTAGAAAAATAATAATCAACATTATTTACCAAAGTAAACTGTCTTGTAGAAAAGACATAAAAATTTTCATATACTCAATTATAAGATTAGTAGATAAAAAATAATTTTTATATTAATAAGTAGATAAATATTGAGAACTTATGTTAGTCTTATAGAGAAAAAAGAAAATTTTATATAATTCTGTATAAAATGAAATAAATGAAGAACCTTATATACGTAAAATGAAAAGTAAGTTTCATGACGTTCAATGCTCGTATCATATTTGTGGTCGTAATATGGACATATTATCTGTGAGTTCAGTCCTTTGGGAAATCACATCGCTGCAACCACGTGTACCTACTGTTTAAATACACTTCATTGTATTGACAGACATTGTATGACTTGGTACTGTGATCACTGGACTTAGAAGATAGAGAATATTTTGTTTGCTTTCTTTAATGTGATATATTATAACAAATAAATATTCAACTTTCGTGCAGACAAAGCTACGTTTATTATTTGTTAGTATAAGTTATTAAAATTTACAGAAACAAAACATTATTAACTTTAGAGAAATAATAACTGTACGATGCAACTCATACGTGTCATAGTTTGATTAAATAAATAACAAAATTAATAAATTGAACTTATAGGACTCAATCGTTGTAGTAACTAAAAGTACTAAGAGGGTAACGATTTTAAGAATTAAATAATAATTTTCTGTACACTGAGTTATTCATGGTTAATTAAAAAGAAAGTGTGTGACTTGTTTGGGTGTGCATTTTTCTGTTATTTTTTCTTTCTTGTATCCCAATATGTAGTATAAAATTTGTTATATAATAATTAAAATCATAACTAAATATAGATAATAAAGGTTAAGACAGATTTAAAACCTTTTAAGATACGTTGTCAGGTGGCTCGTTGGTCTAGGGGTATGATTCTCGCTTTGGGTGCGAGAGGTCCCGGGTTCAAATCCCGGACGAGCCCTGCTATTTTAATTATAAAAAAATATTTTGGATGAAATTAAGGAATTTTTTATATATTCTTTATAATCAAAATTTGACGTATTCGTATTTAACCCTGGTCACAAATAAATATTATTATTAAATTCAAATTAATATACTTTACACAGGTAGGGTTATCCTTATTGTTTAAAGAAAGAAAGAACATCATAAAAAATAAATCATCAACATTTGTTTTATAAGCACTATATACATTTTATATACTTATTAAACACTCACTATCGTATGATTCACGTGAACTGAAATAAATTATATATTTTCCTTTCTATTACATACTTTACATTTCACTTGTAATATTACAAAGTTTGGTATAATTGGTGGTGAAATTTAAATAATAATATAAAGGCCATAATTACGTCATTAATATAAAGGCCTTTATCTTTCGCTGGTCACCGAAACATTTAGACTTCAATAATACTAAGAGGGGTCATTTGATGTTTTAAAAAAAGACCTCGATAATTCTCAATGTAGTCCTTAATTTTTCTACAAATACAGGGTGACTGGTGAATTACTATCGATACTTGAGAACGTGATATTTGACGATCATATATGACAAAATAAAAATTAATATAACATAAATATTAATAAACTTCTAAGTAAAGTTAACCAAAAGTTATGTAATTAATTACGCATCGTGTGAACACCCTATAGATTAGGTATACACACACGCACACACACAGGTGTGGCGGCGTAGTGTTGTATCAGCACGCCACCACACGCGTCCACGCTTGGACCACTTGGAACGTGTCCACGCTTTATTTATTTATACGGAAATTTGGTCAACAATTAAGTACCTATTTTTTTTACATAATTCGAATGAGAATCATGTACCGAGTATTCTCCTTAAATATTGATAGTAATTCACCAGTCACCCTGTATAGAGTTAGTGAAATATTTGAAATTATTGTATTTAAGAAAATTAGTAATGCCTTAAAGTTAATTTACTAATATCGATCAAATCTTATTATTTCATATTTTTACAATAAATTATTTTTAATTTTCGAGTAACTTTAGATATAATAAAATAAACACAAGAAATATTGAAGTATCCAATCTCGGAATGTATTTGCTTTTATATACACAGACAAATATAAAATACCAAGTAATTGGATCAGATGATTTGATGTTTGAGGATAAAACACTAAAATTTTCTTACTATCATTAAAGTCCACGTTTTACTAAGCTGTTTTTTTTTTTTGCTAAATAACATTTTTTTAAGGACCATAACAAAGTCTTATAAACTTTTAATTTAGAACGGTGTTATTCTGAAATATGTAGTTTCTTTTAGGAAACCCTTATTAACTTTTATCACATAATATTCTTATGTACAAAGACAAATAAATGAAAATATTTTACGAAATTGTGAAAGAAAAACATTTATTTGTTTAAATTATTTGTTGTGAAAAACTACTTATAGAGTATTATATTTCAAGCCTCAATTTGATTGTACCTTAAATGTACACGAATTGAATTAATTTGGTTTTTTTTTTAAAAATGTAATTTTTCATTTACTACTATCGATATTCAAAAATACGTATATTCTGTAATAAAACGATACAGTTTCGGATTCGCTTTTACATTCTTAAATACATAGTTAGACAACAACGTAGCTAATGTTTCTGATCTATTACCAATACTTTTTTTTATTCACTTCTGATTATTGCTTAAGAAAACACTTTGAAAATTCTTCAGACATTAATCATGTATATTTTATGTTAATTAATTAATTAATTTATTTATTTATTTGTAATCAACAGCGTATACAGATTATATTTGTACAGTTTTTAAAACTTCATTAAAACTATGGCCACAGAGATTACATTGTAAAGTGTTTAATATAATATTTTTAACATTTTTAATAAAGTAAATATTTTGTTTATCAATCAATTTGCCAAACCAGTCTACCACGCCCAGGGCTAAACGTATGTCTACCTCAAAGTATGTAAACTATCTCGGCCCTGAGCAGACCTTTCTCAAATTGCCCTTCATGTTGCAGGTCGTCCACACTACATTAACCTAAACGCGGTTTCCACTCTGACTGGTTCAACGCCATCAATTGTATGACCCTATGGAGACAGGATTAACTCATTTCCATTTAAGCATATTAATTCTGCGAACTATCTTTGATACTTCAGTTTTCTGACTCATCACACTATTCATTCCGTCATCCAAGAAACTTTGCCTAGTACATGATACAAATCTCGCTTGGTGACTTTGAATCTATAGACCAGTACTAGGGCAAGTGAACATTTCTTAGTTCTGCAGGTTAAGAGTACTAGTAATAGTGGTTAAATATTTTGATCTTTAAGGTTTAAAAATCGACGGTCAGTACTTCAACTGTGGGACCTATTTTCATCGTTGTTAAAGGAAAAATCTAACATTATCGTACTATCCTTTTTCTTAAATAACTTACATATAACATAAATTAAAACAGCTCCCATTCTGTTTCCAGATCAAAGACATAATTCTTAGTTAAGGTTGCTTTGAATCTATAAGTTTGCATTTTATTTTAATTGCGAGTTATTAATTTTTATTTTGTATTGAAAACTGAATCAGTTACACTCTGAAACTCTTTTTGAAATTATATTGTAAATGAAAATATTGTGCGTTAAAAGCTAAATCAAAATATATTACGTGGTATGTATTCCAGTAAATTTTTTATTAAGGCTGTCAATATCAATGTCACTATATAGAAAGGTAATTCATCGAGACAATCATCGTGTACCAAATAGTTTACTTATTCTGACTTTATTGCCTATAAAATTGAAAATACAATAAGGATTTAGTTTGGGTATTTTAAATTGACGTATCTCTTATTTTTCCAGTACAACAAAAAGTGTAAAGTGTTATTTTATTTTTGCCACCTGTTGCTACTACATAGCTGTATCTTTGCTCTAGCGAGTGATTCTATCAGCTTGTTGGGTGGCAACGAAGCGGAAGGACTGTTCGTTTAAAATTAAAAAGCAGCTAAATTTCTTTCAACTTTTCACTATTATCTTTACATTTTTGATTTCTTAATAAACTTTTTTAATAGTAAATACATACGAGTATATTCATGTTTTTATTCTGCTTTTTTACGCTTTTACGCTTTTTATTCAGATTAGTTTATGGATATATATAACATTTATATATGTAGGATTAGTGACGTGCTCAAAGATATTGTAAAC